TTGTTTCCACCGGAAAAGCTCGACGAATTTTAGTTATGTCGCAGCACAACAGACGCGTAAAAGCGCTTTGGTGCGCGAATGAGATGATTATCCAAGAAGGATAAAATTTTTGTCCAGCCTCTGACTCATTTGTTTCAACTCGTACTCCATTCGGTTCCTTTTTCTCTCGAAATCGCGACGACGAAACTGCATAGCACGTGTATTTTTTTACTTTATTTTATTTTCTTTAATAAAATAAATGTTTCACTCTGATAAGAGATAAAAACACTATTGTAGAATAGAACGAATTTTCAGTTAATACTCTCTTCAAACTTTCTATCCAATAATTAAGTCTTAATTTTAATCGTAATTAGCTCATTTTATCGATGCTGTAATAAGCATGGAAAATGTACGTATACGTACGTAGATACAAATTAAACCTTTTCCATACTGTAGACTAGCTCTTGTTAAATGTTCGCGAATATTAACATAACAGCAAGTAATTTTCGCCACCGTCTGCTAATGTACATACTGGAAACGGTTATTCTCTAAGCCTCAGCTGTGAATGCTGGGAGCTAAGAACGACTGTTCGTTTATCTGCTACAATAACCGAAAACAATTTGCTCATCTGTTAAACTGCGTCTCGCGGGTGCATTAGCATCCCGCACGCTATCTTGCAATATTTTCCAGCCAGAAGCTGCTGTAATGAGAAACCGTTGACATTCGCGTTTCGCGAAACGTGGAACATCTGGCGCAATTCCGACACATTTTATCGGAGGCTAATAATAGCTTCAGCATGATTCTTCGCTTCGCATTATTTAACATCGTAAGAGAACAGAAAAGGGACGCATTCTCGAGCATTGTCCGCGAAATAACGAGAACGTCCCATATAAAAGCACAATAAACTCCTTCAGCAACTCGTCATGTAGCCGCGACTGGCAGATGAAGGGCGTCGATAAATATAACAGCTCGTGGAAAACTCCGTTTATGCCCAACGAACGGAAGTTTCATCCGATTCGCAGTCGTTATCATGCGTAACAATGCGGATCGGCCTGTACCACTTTTCACACGAGTCCTTCTTCATTATTCGCGCAATAATGTCGCTCTAAAACGCACGTGCGAGCTGTCATCTGTCACCGACTTGTCGATAACGTTTCCTAACGACCGAGTTTTGCGTTTTAACTTTATCACGACAGATACTCGCGAAACGTTTTCTTCTATTCTTGCAACACGCCGGACTCGCATTACCGGAACAAGATCAGAAAACGGAGGCGTAACAAAACTTTTTGAATTTATGGCGTAAAACTGACTAGAATGAAAGTAGGTCGTGCGCTTCGGGATGGTGTAGTAAAAATAAAAATAGCGAAAAAAGCTTTTTACTTGTGTACCGACGTGACGTCGTAATTGTGAGGATAATCTCCATTATTTATCACCGCAATGTGTTTCATATCGTATTTCACGGTATCTTTATTTCAGAGATCTTTATTTAATCATATTTTAAGCAAATGCGAAGAATGGTTGAGACTGTTTGTTTCTCTTTGCCTGAAACCATTTCTCCCATTATCGGGCGCCGCTGTTTTCGCCGCGCGAACAATAAAAGCCGCACAACGCCCCGCTATATTTCGCACAATTTCTCTAAAAGTTCCGTATCTTTGCTCGTTCTCGACTCCGTTCCCTAAGGAACTTGGAACTTTAACGCGAAGCTCACATTCGAGCGATCAATGATCGACTTTTTAAAGAATATTCGATATAGGCGCATGTCGGTAACGATAAGTATAATGCATACGATACGCGACTGACAGTTTGAAAGAAAATCAAAGTATAAATATTTTCCTCTTATCTCATATACGCGCTATTCTGTATTGTACTATAGTAAAAAAATGTTTAGCATACACATCAAATTTTACTTAACAGAAATAAACTCACTCCGACAAGAACGATAAATTATAAGAGACATGAAAAGCACTCTACCTTCTTTCGCCTGAACGTATCCATGTACTTCGCAGTAACTTCCGGCCGGACCAGCCGCTCCAGGAGTGTCCAACGTAAACAGAGTGTTGGCGGAAGAGCTAACACCGTCGTCGGACATCGTCTGCAGCAGACTAGTGGTCTGCGATAAAGTACGTTGTTGTTGGTGATGCTGGTGATGATGATGATGATGATGGTGCTGCTGCTGCTGCTGCTGCTGCTGCTGCACTTGCTGCTGATGCTGCTGCTGCTGAGCAAGCATCTCTTCGTGCCGACATTTCGAGCAACGACGCATCTCAGACTGGACGCGCAGCAGCCAAACCATGCCGAAGAGTGCCATAGCAACCTCGAGACCCGCTGACCTCGATGGGTGCTTCATGCTCGCGGGGTCAAGGTCATCGAGGCTCCGGGAGCCAGCGCGACACATATCACCGACTTCGGTGCGGATTTGTCTATCGCTCTTTCTTCTTTCTGTCTACTTCCTCCCGTTTTTTTAACGCCCACCTATTTTTGCAGGATTGCGATTTTAATTAAGCAAGCACGCGCGAAGATGTACTTTCCTCAAGCTGCGTTTTATTACGTATAATTAGTGTTTTTTTTTTTTTCGCGGCTTCCTGACGAGACTTTGCGATGTATAGAATTATTAAGCTCTCTTTGGCAGTGGACCGTTCTTCGTTATCCTCAAAGCGATTATTTCGTGTGTTCTGGATTTGAATCAAAGTTTCGTTTAATTTCGTAGTTCGCCGAATACTAATAATTATTCACTCAACGAGCTTTACTGTTTCTCAAGAGTGACTTCTATGTTCGCGTTGGCAGAGAGTTTCCGTTGTTTGTTGTTTAGTGTCCTCTTCTCTGACCTAGATTCACGGTTCCTGTTGTCGTCTCAACGTCGATGTTGTCGCGCTACAGCGATATACAATTCAATTCGACGTTCGTTCCGAAATAGTCGGAAATCGATCGCATCGAAGGGTGAATTCAGTCACATCTCATCGATTTTACTTCCCGACAATTTCATCCGTAGAAATTAAGATCCGCGTTCTATGAACATTTCTTGTCTGAGATAGCAAGAGCGCGTTCTATGGCCAGCACTTCGCATTTTTCACAGACGATTTAACAGGATGAGCTCGTACCGCATCTTAAGAATATAAGAGTATCCAGCGAGCGGTCAGAAATTTTTCTTTCTCTTCCCGTTCACAGATAGAGTTCGACTTACGAATCACTGAAAATTGAGCGAATGAGCAAGGCACCGTTCTCCTTGAAGGCTGCTCGATAAGTGTCGATAAATTAGTGTATCTAGTATTGAAATGATAGCGCATTCGCGCGATTAATATGAATTTTATATTTATACTAAAAAGGAAAACTATTATTTAATTTAATGAAATGAAGATTTGAAATCACCGAATAATTTCAAAGATCCTTATAAACAATGGAAAATTAATTCCTTCCGTTGACTTAATCCTTATGCAAATTGGAAATGCTAGTCCAACATCCGCAGATTTTTCTATTTGCTTACGATTTATTTTATTCGTTTCTTGAGGAGCGTTATCAATTAGACAGCAATCCGATTGGAAGGAAAATAGCCGACGCGGAAGTCTTCTAATTTATAATTCGCTTCTCCAAGTAATGAAAAAAGACATGTTGGATTTCCAATCTCGTGCGAATATCAAGAAAAATCAACCAAGGCACCAGGTTCTTTCGAATATCGACGAACGAGGAGGACGAAGATGATCGATACAGCCTTAATACGGGAGGAAGCTAAGCGATTGGTCCCGGGCACACTCCGATGACGGTAATACTTCTATAAAAGTATAAAAGACGTCCCCGAAATGCGATCCTCGCATATTTCCCAGGAACTATCCCAATAATCGCCATTTTCATTTCCAAGCCGTGGCTACGCCTCGCTCATCCAACTTTCAACGATCGAGTTCCGTTCCCAGATAACGTCCCCGGCGACTTCTGCCATTTCTTCCTCTGCCGGATTCCGTCTGGTGGTGGTCCATCGAATTACGCGAGGCTGACGTTCTTCTTCTCTCGATAACGTCGCACTGGAAACGCGATTCTGTCCCATCGGGACGGCAATTCCGGTTTCGCGGTCGTCTCACCCCTTACGCATGAGTGAATTTTACTCGGTGTTCATCCCCAGCATTGGCGAGAAAGAGAACAGGCGGAGAAGAGGGTGGAGGAGTAGAAGAGCGCTCGATACAACGAGACTCCAACCTCTTTTCTTCGTATCTCCTTTACTCTCTACGAGATTACACAGTGTTTGCAAGCGGAACGTAGCTTTTCAGCTGAGTATTCAGATGCGGTCTTTTCTTCAGGATTGCGCTTGCGTCACGAAATCGCTGCGAGAAAAAGGATTCGCTTGACCCCATCGCGGCGACGGCGGAATATCAGGCATACTTGGATCCTGCTTTTGCGGTCGAACAGTCGGCGGATTTAGCTAAAATGAAATCCTCACGCAGGCTTGAGTGACTGCTTGCATTCAAGCAGCGGCTCGTTATCAATTCCTGTCGAGTCCGAATCTGACTGAATGGGTTCACTCCTGTCAATCTGTCGACGACTACGTTCGAAACGGGAGCTCGTCTTCAACAACGATCCAGCTTCGACGATAAAAGGTGATATTAATTTCACCGTCGGCTATTCAAGGATTTTATTTTGTAACCACTTTGCAGCTTGATTATACAAAATCTTAAGATAGAAATCATCTCCCCCAGTATACATCTCGGTTCAATTTGATTTCTCTTTCTGTACAGAATCCTCTTGACTCGATTGAAGTTCGCGTTATCTCCTTCGTGCTCTTTCAAATAATATTTACCATTGAATCTTACGTCGAAATCTTTTTCGATAAAAAAGTTCCTCGTACTAGCATCTGCATCTTTCCCACAGAGTATTTCACTCTGTACACGCAAGTGACCGAGGATATTATTCCAGGGATGCGATCGGATTTGATATCCGGCGATAACGGGACTTTTTAGATGTGAAAAGAAGTTTCGGTGATTTACGGGTGAAAACCATTCGCAAGGAACGTTCGATAAGTGACCGATTTCTTTTTCTTCGGATCTTCAGTTGTGGCCTCGATACTCCCCTTGAAAGGCTCCGCAGCCTCAGATTTCCGGCCGATACTTCTATCCTGGAAAAGTCGTGGCACAAACCTTCGAGCATTACCGATGCGAGAGAAGCGCGGTCGATTTCGCTCGCGAATTCGATGCTCGTTCGAAAAGAATTTTTCAATGGACTCCCTCTACGCAACGATGGTTCGTAAATAGCGGATTGATCGATTCTTTTGATCGATAATCGATCGATAATTTACAATATACTTTTCTCGCTTATAGTCACGAAACTGCTGGTCTCTCGTCGATGGAAATTTTATTAACTACATCATATTAATAACTGCATGATTTATTTCCTTATATCGGATTATTCTCGAATTCATTTAAATTTTGCTTTAATATAATATTTCATATTCTAAAATTTATATAAAATAATACACAAACAGCATATCAAAGAAGAGAAGGCGAGTCAATACAGCTTTCAGCGATGAAATTGGTGACAACTTATATCGATCACGCCAATAACCTACCGCAATGCACAGGGACAATGTAATAGCGATGGAATAAAATGGTCCATCGTCAGAGCCGGCTCGTAAATACAGATTGCGTCCAATAAAACAGAAACGTCAGCAAAGTTCCAGAGATTGACTTCGTCGCTAAAGAGAAAAGAAGATAGAGATAAAAAGAGAGAGACGGAAAGAGCGCTCCTCGCGAGGAGGTTGTAAATTACGAGAGGGGACGCGATATATAAAGGAAACGACGACGACGACGACGACGACGAGGTTGTATGTCGAGTCGAGTCAAAATGCTCGAGGGGTGAAAACACTTGTGCGCGCGTTCTTCGAGCACCGACAGCCTCCTGGCAGCAACTACCCTCTCCGTTAAGTTGACTTCGCGATAGAGATTTTCCGTCTTGCGCGGCGGCAATTAAAACTTGTGTAAATTCCATTTCATGCAACGCCGCAGAGTATTCATCCGCAACGCGCGTTGATCCATTTCATCGCCACCATTGTATCGCGGGGATGGAAACGAAAACATGGCATATAAATCGAAATACGCGAGACTGGCGCCGCCGATTTTACACATATCGATTTTGCACGGGGATTTACCGGATCTGCGTTACCTGCGTTACCACCCACGACAGGCTGAATAGCTCGATAACTGTCTCGTCGAGCATCGCTTTTAGCATCAGTGCTCACGGTGATTAAAAACGGTACTACTACTGTGGTTTCATGCGAATTGAATGTATTGCGCGACGAGTAGCGTATATTTATTTAAATATCTCAGTGTACTGTCGTCAAATAAAGCACATTGCATAACATGAATGTACAATACACGTATATTTGTTTTTACAATTGTTCAATTTTAGCTCCTTCTGCGTTTATTATTTTCTCTTTACATTTCAAGTGATACTCGTTTAATCTTTTTTATTGCTTCGGCATCCTTTTGTGCATAAATAAAGGCTGTCAACGAGCTCTTAAATCGGTTGAATAAGTGACAAATTTTGTGGATGGACGAATTTCCACCGGAAGAACTCATTTAGCCAGTTATCCTTTCGCGCACGCCCGATATATCGATTTAACGACGAGCCAATAAACCGCGAACGAATGCGATTATGTCGGAAATAATGCAGCAGGCGGACTCGATGACCGTGTACTCTCGACGCACCATCGTCAACCCTCGCAATAACGTGCTCACGGGGATTGTCACGAGGGATGGCAAAAAAGGCCGGCCGATTGAACGAGGCTTGATACATCGTGCTTGCACGATGATTACCAGACCCATCGTATTTCTTCGCGGTAAAACGCCCGAGCGTAATTTCGCAGGCGTGTAAATCATCGGAATTGGAATTGATGAATCATTAGCCCGCCCCCCATTCCCCACTGTCGTCCGCATGCGTTCGACCGGCAACGGCGATGCCGTTTAATCGACGCGGTCGTAAAAATTAATTTTGCACAGGGACACGAATTATTGTTTACGGACCATCGACAACCGGCGACGGGATTAATATTTGTTTCTATCGCTGTGTACGTAAATATTATAGTTATTAGCTCATAATTGGAATAGAAATAATTGGAATAGAAATCGAGTATAATATTACATGTAGTGTAATAAATAGGGGCATGAGCGGATATAGGATATTACCGTGTTTCATTTAGCGAGATTAACGTTTGTTATAGGATATTTTAATAGTTTTATTATTATTATTCGTGTTTCATGCTTTTAATAATCGCCTGTTTCCATTATGTCCGCCATTTACATCCCTATCTTAAAAAAATGAACGAGAGACAGAGATTATATTTTTTATTCTGAAACCTAGATTATTCTACTTACAAACTTCAAACTAAAGTAAAATCAAGAACAGGATAACCCGATGAGAAGATAAAGGGAAGGAAGGAACATATTTTAAAAGTTTCAACGACCCTTTTTAGATGAGAACAATTTTATTTTCTTTCTTCGTAAGCCCCGATTTTTCCGGTTCCTTTTACATACCTGATAGGTTAATCCAAAAGTATTAACTAAAGACCTAAATTTACGAAGCGTAAGAATTTCAATATTTATTCTTTGAAATTAGAAACAGAACATCTTAAATTTTCTCTCTAACGAAATTATTTGAATTAATTTACTAATTATTAATTAATTTACTGTGAATTAATTTACTGTGTTTTTATTATAAAATTACCTATAATAAGAGGAACGCAATAAGACATTTTATATAATTTTTCAATCAATTACTTTTAAGCAACACACTTTTTTCCAATTAACTACAAATAAAATAAAATGTAAAATATTTTTATATGTAAAATGCATAAAAATAAATTATTTCATTATAAAAATATAATTTACTTTAAGCTTGATAAATGAATAATTTCATTTTAGAAAAATAATATAATTACATCGATTTCAATATAAGATGTTTAAACTGTAAATTATTTGTAACTGTACATTATTTGTAATTTGTAACTGTAAATTATTTGTTTGCATTCTCATTTCAAACAACTAATTTATATAATAAACAAAATCATAATAAAATAACAAATTGTGATGTGTAACAAACACATTAACAAATATAAATTCCTTTTAGCAATATTACGAATTTCGCGCACATCAATATTTTCATTCTTTCTTTTTGCAGCGATAAATAAATTGTTTCTCTCGAGCAACAAAGAGGCTTTTAACGATTCGCATCGTTAATAATAGCTGTGCATTTCCTTTATCTCAAATGATTCAGCGATAAGCGATTTGGAATTAAGGTAAAAAAAAAAAAATTGCCGGATGTGCTGAAAAATATCACATGCGATTCGTATATGCGTTAAATAATTTCGCATATGCGTTCGTCGACTCTTTTTTCTCTTTCGTCTCTTTTTTATCGCAATCACGACACCTGCATATATGAATAAAACGCTGATTTGAACTCTGCTGCTTTTTTTATGGTGGCAAATATAAAAAATTTCGTGCACAATATACAAGGTATGTTTCAAAATCTTTGATCTTAATTTTAATAATTGCCTTGACGAAAACAATAATGCGGATATTCTAAATAACTTTCGATTTCGTAAACAGACGATATTTGTAAAATTATAATTCGTCACAGGGTATATTTGGGATTTTAGTTTTACATTTTTCAATCTCGTATTTCTACAAATATGCAGAAAATTGTAAAATGTCCAGACATTATAGATTCGTCCATCTATTACCAAGCCCGATTAAACTCCATTCTACATTTCAATCATTTTCAAGCATTTCGTAGTCGTAAAAAAGAAATTTATCGGATAGAAACGAGCGTCTCCGTCGCTTTCAATTCCCTTTGTGGATAACAGACGGAGTACAGTGCCGCGTCGAACCACCGCATAGATCTAACGAGCAACTGAGAGAATGTAGTAAACTCGATGCAAACTTGATGGGGCAGCGGCACTCGAAAACGCGGGGATAGGGGTAGCATACGGGTAGCATAATGCAGATTCCGGTGCGCGATTACAGCAGTTTGTGCAAGTTGCAGAAACAAACACGCGAAATTGTGTGCGTCCTTTGACGGTCGCTCGCACGTTAATAATTTTTTAACAAAGAGTCGCGACCGCGAACGAACAAACGGAAGGCGGAACGATTCGATCAAGATTTTCACAAAGAAATGACGGATCGTCAATCGTTTTAAAGAATTTTGTAATTTGAGTAACTATCTTCTTTTGCCTCGATTGATATTCTCACAAAATTTATATTCAAATATCCTAAAATACAGCGGCTAGAGATGCACACAAAGAGTGCAATTTATTGAGATACTTAAAATGATAATATTAATCTATTCCTTAAAATCAAAAAGTAAATATGTAAATAGTATATAACTGCTTAAAAATACATGACACATTTTTATATTTATATTATTTCATGAAATTTTCTACAATATTAATGTCAAGCGATTACTTCAAGTGTTTTTGTTCTCGGATCGAGACATATTAAAAATAAATAATATTAATAATATACTCTTTACAAATGAGTTTCTTGTAATTTCCGGCCAAGTAGCTCCATTCCGAGGCTAAGTAAAAAGAATGAGAAAAAAGTTGCCCGTAATTTCGGATTAAAGTGAGTGGAAAGAATGTGCTTTTTAGCGCGACGCAGGTGCGTCTGCATCGTTTGAACCACGAATACACCTTTGTATTTTTTCCGCTATCTTGATCACTGCTCTCTTTAATCTTTTATATTTAAAATCCCTAGTTTATTGCGTATAAAAACTTATTTTTACTGTGCCATGAGAGAAAAATGATTTTAATAGGTTTATTTTTTATCTAAACTTTTCTGCCAATTTTTTGTAAACTTTGCATTTTATTTAAGCTTTCCAGCAAAATTTACACAAATGTCGCTTAGATCTACATACTAATTCATGCATTCGATAAATTTGGTTCTCAAGCCAGCACTATTTATTTTAGGCATTATACATGCCAAATGTTATTGCACGTCGATCGACGCGTGGTGCAATGTTCCCAAATAAATTGCGAAAATACAGGAACGTCGGGAAAATCCTTTCTCTTTTTTTTCAAATTTTGCATGAAAAAAATCGATTTTATCATCAATTCAATTAATTTCC